CTTGCAAAGACTCAAATGCCTGTAACTGTTGATTTCTTACTGCTGCTGGCTCCCTGGCCCTGCTGGCAGCACAGACATCCATTAATGTGTGTTCCCTCCATCCTCTGCATCAGCCAAGCCTGAGATAACAGCAGAGAGGAGCCAAGTACCTGCCACCACATGAAGACAGGGCTGTTAGGTATTAGCTGCAAATCAAAGGCAAGACTTGGCCACTGGGACAGCCTTTATCCCTGGTGAGTCTGTGGAATTGCTTTGGAGCCTGCTGAGATATCTGGGAAAAAAAGGCTCCTGTGCTTTGATTGAGGAGGAAGATTCTGCTGGAGTGAAAGCAAGGAGGAGTGAAGGGTGGTTAATCCTTTATCGAGGCTCTTCCCCAAATGTGGATTAGGCTGTGTTTGATTATCAGGGGCTGTTTCAGAGGCAAACAGTGAAAGCAGATGTTTAAGGCACAATTGGTGTATTATGGGCACTGTTTGCCTGTGTCCCCTGATATTTGGTGCTTCTGCCACTTGTGCGATGCCAGCAGCGCTCGCTGCTGCTGGGAATGAGATGAGGACAGGGAAGGAGGTGATGCAATCAAACCTCCAACCCTTCTGCTGAATTTGGGGGTTTTGGGGGCTCAGCCAATCCCTCCAGGACTGAGCCTTGTAAAGCCATCCTCTCCAGGAGGGCTTGGATGTGTTAATTATTTATTTGATAGGTTTAATCCTGGAGGAGGCAAACACCTGCCAGAATCCTGTAAATCAGGGCCATTCTTTTGCACATCTTTCCTATTTCAGTGGTGACTGTGACACTTGGCCATGGTGTCAGGGCTGCAGATGAAGCCCTGGTTGGTGACACAGGCAGAGATGGCAGGAGCAGAACACAACCAGGTAGAGAGGCAGCTGGTGGGACTGGGAAGGGCATTTATCCCCTGGGAGATGCCAATCCATCTCAGATGAAGATATTTTGGGTATGCAGACCACCTGTGCTTCTGAGTTTCCCTGGGGCAGGGTGGTGGTGAGAAATATTCCCTCATTTGCAAGTGGGAATGATGAAGTGATTGAAGCCAGCCCAGCATTCCAACTGCAGGCCCCCATTTCCTTCCAAGGTACCTGCTGGCTGGGCCTTTCTAGGTTGGATTTTAGCTGCTCAGGATGTGAGAATTGCTGACACAATTCCCACCTCTTTAGACCTTCCCTTTGCCTCTCCCTGCTATCCCAGCCCCTGTTAGAAGTGAATTCATGCCCTCACCTCCTCCTTCATTCTGGAAAGTCGTTAACATGAAATTGCCAGGCAGAGAAGCTCCAGAGAGTTTAACGTGGCTACTTTATATTGCTGCTAGGAGTGTCTGGAATTGAAAATAAACCTGCGCTTGCAACTCCTGACCCTTTCATCATAAATCCAAACTTCCTTACGTGTCTCTCTTTGCTGCAGAAGATGACTGTATTTCAGTCTCTGCAAAGGCCTGTGTGCAGCTGAGAGCCACAGCTGTGCAGGAGCCCGGTGCTGTTTATTTGCAGGGTTTTGCTTGCTGGCGTTTTTTTGGCAGATGATCCCCCGGAGGAAATAACCCAAACGTGTTCAATGAAAATAGTTTTCGTGTGGCGTGTGGCTTGCTGGCCTTGCTCCTGCTCCTGGGGGAGGGTTGTCCACATGGCAAAACAACAACGCTGTGATTGCTTCTCTGGCACCCAACCAGCAGCACGGGAGTGGACACAGAGTTCTAGAATAGTTTGGGTTGCAAGTGACCTGAAGACCATCAAATTCCACCTTCTGTCATGGGCAGGGACACCTTGCACCATCCCAGGGTGCTCCAAGCATCATCCAACCTGGCCTTGGGTACTTCCAGGGATCCAGGGGCAGCCACAGCTTCTCTGTGCCAGGACCTCCCCACCCTCATCATAAACAATTTCTTCTTTAAACCTAGTATGACTCTACCTTCTTTAAAAAAAGCTGCCCTCCTATTTCTGTCTAAGTCCTTCTTATAAGGATGTATTCTTCTGCAAGTAATGCCAGGGGAAAAAAGATTAAATAAATAAGCTTAAATTTAATTTGGTGTCTGTGTGGGATTATCAGCCCCATTAAGGGTAGGTCTGAGTTCAGCTGGAGCCCAATCAGGTGTAGGAGGAACTACCCAGTGGCAATTAGATTAATGAAACCTCAACAGGTTGGAGACGGGCTGCAAATCAGCCACAGGTGTTTGTGCTTAATGCTGTGATTTTGGGGGCTGTGTCCTCCCAGGCTCCTGCCTGGGGTTGGGAGAGTCTGGATGGTGTAGAAATGCAGTCAGGGGATTGTGTGGGGCCTTTCTGGTCTCAAGTGCTTCAGCTGGAGTGCTTGGTTCTGGATGTGCTCCTCTGACTGTGCCAGCTCTGATGGATTCATCTCATTGCACCGCTTGTCAGAGTAATTTTCTTCTGGTTTGGGCTGGAGCTTTGCACCCTGCACCTTAGGTAAGATGTCTGCTGGCACTATGCAGCCTTTTATCATCTTGGTGGTGAAGAAAGCTGTCTTGTTTTCCTTGGAAACTTTCCTCCCTTTCCCCTCCTTCTACTGCTTGGGATTTTCCTGCTTTCAGCCTGAAGTGATTCTTTCCAGCTTGTCAGGCCATCAGAGTGAGCACTTAGGCAGTTTGATTATACCCCTGAAACACAAATTGTGCTCATCTCTGAGCTTAAGAGTTTCTGGGGAAATTGGGCCTGCCTTGAAGACCTGGATTCTTGGCTCTTACATCCACAGGACAATTCAGCTTGGAGGGATATCAAGGGGCCACACAGTTGGGCTGAGGGGATTGAATTTAGGCTGAGGGGACCATCTGGAGTAGTTTTGTGGTCACCTGGCTCTGTTGGAAGGTGAATTTCCAGTTTGGTTGGGTGGTTCCTTCTCTGACACATCTCCTTTCCCTGCTGGTTATGGATTTCCAGGTATTAAAGCTGGGTTGCAGATTTATCTTGGACTTGTTGCTGTCATTTTGGACTAGCAGCATCCTGCCTGCTGCTGCTGGAGGCTGCTGATCTGCTCCCTAATTGCTCTTTTAGCTCTGCTAAAAAGGGCAGTCCACAAACACTAATGACTCCTGCAGGCCAGAGCTCAGGCTAGCTGATCCCTCCTAATGGCTCTTTGAATTCCTCCTAGGTTTTATGTATTTATAAACACATTTAGGATGCATTATTCTTCTATTCAGCAAAACCATCTGTAATTATTGCCCGTAATTGCTGGGTGAGGATAAAATGAATCAACTATCAGGCTTTTACTGCTCCTAAACTCAAGCAGGGTCCATCACTTTTTTCAAGCTGTGTTTCCAGGAAGATGTGAGTTCAAAGAAAATTGTTGTGGTCCTTTAGTTCTGATATATCAAAACTAGACACCCTTCCTGTACACTTCATTATTGCTTCTCTAGGCCTTAGCAAAACATTTTAAGTGTTGAAACCTGTGAGTGGCCCCAGAGAAGTTAATAAAGTCCAACTGCTCTGGCAGTTTGTGCTGTGGTATTTGGAGTTTTATTTGATTTATTCTGTGGAGATCTGTGACCTGTATTAGCTTTACCTGCCTTGATGGTGCCTGAAGGTAGAAAAGCTGCCTGTGCCATGTTCCTGCTGTGTTTCTGGAACTCCCTGAAGCCCAAGGAAACATCCTTAGGGACAACTGGACATGACGTTAATTTAAGTGAAGGGATCCCAGTGCAGCATCCATGTGGTGAAAATGCTGCTGAGATCAAAGGCAGTGGGTGATGGAGCTCAGGCAGCAGTATTGATGGGTAGGGGTTTTTCTCTGGTTGTTGGGAGTTCATGGATACCTCAAAAAAAAAAAAAAAAAAGGCTGGAAGTCCCCCATAGTATCTTGGTAGAAGCTTCCCTCCTCTCCAAAGAACTTCAGGGAATTACAGAATCTCAGTTAAATCACAGAATGGTTTGGAAGGTGCCTTAAAGGAAGGAAAGATGGATGCTAATGTCCTTACAAACAACTCGATGGGTGAGGGGTCTTTAGGAGGAATGCCTTTGAAATGGGCCTCAGTGTCTCTACCGACAACAACACCCGGGGAATATTAACTAAGGTTTGAGCTCCTGAACTTTAGGGTTGGACAATTGGGTCTGGGTAAAGTCTGTAGCACTTCTGGTGGATCCCCTGAAGCCAGACAGCCAGAACTGAGATTTGGGGGGAAATGTTAGATTCAAGGGGGAGGTGGTTTGGGAAGGCTGCACCTTCTGGTAATGGGGAAAGGAAGAGAGTGAGTTTGGGATGAAAGGAGGCTGTGTCCTCTGAAACCTCAAGAGACAAACCCCACGGGGGTATGACCCAGTGGGCTCTCCCTCCATTTATTCAAATAAAATTGCAGAACTCCTCTGTCTCTTTTATGGACTCTGGATTTTTACAGTGTGTTTTTTCCTCACACCATCCAGTCCCACCCCCTGCCACGGTAGGGACACCTTCCACTATCCCAGGTTGCTCCAAGCCCTGTCCAACCTGGCCTTGGACACTTCCAGGGATCCAGGGCCAGCCACAGCTTCTCTGGACCATGTGTGCCAGGGCCTCCCCACCCTCACAGCCAAAAATTTCTCCCCATCTAGCTCTGCTCTCCGGCAGTTTGAAGCAATTGCCTCTTGTCCTGTTTCTCCATCCCTTGTCCCAAGTTCTGCTCCAGCTCTCTTGGAGCCCCCTGAGGTACTGGAAAGGGCTTTAAGTTCATGGTATTTAATGCCTACCATGGTCCCTTCTGCAGATTTGGCTTGGGCTGACCATCTGGCCAGATCTTGCTCAGACAATGCCTGGACACTCCTTGGAGGATGATAATTTCTAAGACATAACATAATCAACTTTGCTGAGTTTAGAATTAGGAGAGGAGTGGTTATTTAGGCTTCATAGATGTGATCCTTAATGTTGGATCCTGGGTCCAGAGTACAGGTCAGGGTTTATTTTATTTACCAGTGCAGATTTAGCTCAGTGGTTCTTATTCTGGATCTGTGGAAATGGTGCACTTTTTTTTTTTCCTTTTTTTTTTTTTTTTTTTTTTTAAAAAAAACGTCTACAAGAACCACTCCCTGGCTTTTGTGGGCACCAAGAGTGGGAAGCTCAAAAAGGTAAGGCCTATGTGGCCCTCTAACTTAGATTTTCATATTTTATGGTGATTTCAGTGCTGCATTGAGCATGAGCACAGCCTTTGTCCTAAGGTGCTCCTATTTTGAGGATAAAAAATGGTTTGGTTGGCAAAAAACCTGTGTCTTGCCCACAAGGGATAAAGATGATCTGAGAACGGATAAAATCCTCCTTCCAAATGGTTATTCATCAGGAAATTAATGCTTCAGAAGTCAAACCACAGTTGCAGATGGACGTGATGTAATTTGCATTCAACAAAATTTTCGGTGCTCAGACCATCTCTAATTGAGTCATTGATCACAGGGTGTCTGTGCACGCTGGCGAAAAACTGATTGGGGCTGAAGTTTGGCAAACAGGATTCATGCTCTGCAGATCTTTCTTCAGAGCAGTGTGACCGGGCTGTGATTTCACCACAAGCTCAGCACGGGATCGGTGGCCGCCCCATTGGCGTCAGGCTGGGGGTTTGTGCTGAAGGAAGAGGGTTTGCATCAAAGGAAAGCAGTGTCCTGAGCCATAAAGAGCTTTATGTTTATGGCTGATGCCACACAAACAGAATCAAGAGTGTGTTTGTGTTCCTCTCTGGGCATTCTCACTGGAAATGTGCCCGTTGCATGGCTGGGGTTTGCCTTGTGAAGCCCTCAGAGAGGCTGGGGAGGTGGGATCCTCCACCTGTGGCTTTCCCAAGGAAAGATGAGTTGTTGGAAGTGGACTAATGAAATGGGCACTGGCTCCATTTCAGCCCCTCTGTGCCAGTCTGACAATGTTGGTCTGAATGTTCAGCCCAGGAATAGTGTTGTAAGACATTGCCTGTGCAAGGAGATGGTGGCTTGGCCATGGTCATGGAGATGGGGGAGAAGCTGGGAAGGGAGGTTGGGCAGAGCCTGGTGATGTTTTAGGATGTTGTTTCCTCTTTAAATCCCTTCTGCAAGCAAAGACTTCCAAGTTGGGGCAAATAAAGTGCTGTGAAAAGGTGCCCCACTGTGGCTTGTGGGGAGTGAAGGGAGTTGTTTGTTCATGGATGCTTAGGGATAGTCTGGAATTTCTGGTTTTGTTCCTCTACCTGTTTCTTCATTTGAAAAGCAAATCTGGGTTGTAAATTCAGATGGCATTTCCCCCATGCTGAGGGAGGAATGGGATCCTGCCCACTGGCAAATGTCTCTGGCTTTGCTCGAAGCAGAGGAAAGGCTGCTCCTGCTTTTGAAAAGAAAAATATGGTAGGTTTTTTTTTTTTTTATTCAGGCATGTGAAAAAGAAGCCAAATTGTTTTTAAAATGGTCATAATAAAAATAATCTCCTCCCCTGGCTAATTAGCTTTTGCTTCCCTGTCATGTGTGATATCATAATAAACTGTTCAGTTCTCCAGCCAGTCTCTTGGAGGGAGGGAAATGGGGTAGCTGAGATTTGAATGGTAAATATCAAAAGGACCTAAACTCTTAATGACTGCTCTCCCTGCACTCACAAGCTTTTGGTTGGGTTTTTTTTTGGCTTCAGGAGAAGAAAACTCAGCCACAGCTCTGTCTTTGCCTTAGCAGGTCGCACTGCAGAGTCCAAGATCTGATTCCTTTTTAATAGGGGAAAATAGGAGAGAAAGCTTTCTGTGCTTTATGGAGTGTGGTAGGGAGCAGGGACAGCCTTATAGGGTAAAGAATGAGGAGAGGAGAGCAGAAGTGGCTGATGTAATTTGAGAAAGGGAATAAAATGAAGCTTTTTCCTAACATGCTGAATATTCTACTTGTGGTAGTTCCCACTTTGGGTGAGCAGGGCTGGAGCCTTGGGCTGAGATTTGCTCAGGTGAATGAATTTCCCCCAAAGAGGCAGAACAAAAAGCAAAATGGGGCTCCCCTAGCCACGTGTGATTCTTTTGGACCAGTTGATCCAGACTCCTGGGAACTTTTAGGTCCACCCCAATCTTTGCTGTGTCTTCTGCAATCCCTGACTCTCCTCCTCACATTGTCCCCCTCCAGTGCTCCTGAGGGTGTCTGACCCTGGGACAGCAACCTGTCACCTTCTCTGGCTGGTTTGGCACTCAGGATTTTCCCTTGGTGCTCCTTGACCCCTGCCATGGGCCTTTGGGTGCTTTGTTTTCCGCCCTGGCTCGTCAGTCAGGTGCTGCCAGGAAAATGCTGCATTGGGATTGCAGCTCCAGCATAATCCATTATTTCAGCACGAAGTTTGTTTTCTGCTCAAAAACACTGGTAAATTGGAGTAAGCCTTGTAGGATTAGGTGAAACCTCTGGACAAATCCCAGGAGCTGGGATTTATTTTTTTTTTTGTGCTGTTGGGTCCTACCAGGCATGTCACACTCTGCTGCTTCTCCTGGTGCAGTGCAGCTCCTCGGTCAAGCTGCAGTGGAATATTTTGGATGGCATGAAAGAGGAGTTCTGAGATTATCCCCAAGATAGCAGGATTTACTCTGTGCTTGGAAGACTCGCTACAAGTCATTACAAGATGGTTTTGGAGAAAACTTTGCTGCTTTTTTCCCCCGCAGTTTCAGTATTTTCCTCTCTGTGTGGGTTTTTTTTAATGTATGAAAGTGGCAGACTGTGTATCAGATTTTGATTTACGCGATCCATGAATGCTCTGCAAAATACCCACAGTCATAAAGCAATATCTGTTAGTTGATATACAAATGTCACATGTGTCAAAGGAATTTATCCAGTGGCACACACAACTGAAGGAAAATATTGTGCTTTACAGGAACATATCATTAAAATGAATCCTAGCAGAGCATCAGGAATCTGCCCATGTAACCAAGACAACAAAGAGGGAAAGAAAAGGAAAAACCAAGATAGAGATAGGGTAGGGAAAGTGTGAGTGAAACCGAATGACACGCTTGGCCCCAGCTATTTCACTGCCCCAGGCAAAATACATTTTGCAACCCTTGCTCATTCGCAAAGCTCCCTGTGCTGTCCATCAGGAAGCACGGAATAATGTGCTGGAGAAATATTCCCTCCAATTCTGCTGCCTTGTCCATGGCACAGCCTGGCCCTGCAGAATGAAGGAATAAATAGGATAAAAATGAAGAGCTGTGGAAAAGGAAAAATTCTCCCTGTCTATATCTAACACATAAAACCACTGTCCTTGCATTAAAGGTTTTGTGGGGGTTTGTGGCTTCTTCAGGATGGAGAAGGGTGGCCCAGGGAGAAGTTCACTCCTTTGCTTTGCCAGTAACTTTTGGTGTGTCTCCACATCTCATTTTCTCTCCAGGGAATATTTTCCTTGCTTAAAGAGTGCTGGAGAAATTGAAGGTATTATGTGCTGTAAGGTGTGTGATCACCTCAGCTTAACTCAACAGATCAGGTGGGATGGAAAACCAGCTCCTGACCACTTGTGGCATTGTTTAATGAGAAATATTTAATGTTGCTGTGCTTTGGTTAGAACCCAGTGTCTGATTTCCTCCTGTGCTGGCGGTCCCACATGTCTGTACCACTTTGGTGGTGAGTGTTCCCACAGCTGAGTGCAATCCAGGGATCCTGATGGGCTTCCTTGGCTGCAAACCCCTCTGCACCCTGGGGAATGCTTCAGGCAAAACCCGTGGCTGAAATGCAGTTGGCAACCCTGGTAGTTTTTAGTGATTTCTTTCAGGAGATGCAAAAAGAAACTTGAGTCTGGCAAATGTCTGGTTTGTCTCCCTGCAAACAGCACAGGAGCTATTCCTGGGGATTTCTCCCTACAAACCACTTTGCTGTGAAACAGCCAGGTGCCAAAATTGCCTGGCTTTTTATTTTTCCTTTGCTTACTCTCTCATTCACACTCAGCCCTTCAGTGGCAGGAGAAAAGCAGGGATGTATCCATGGGCTTGGTTTGGATTTTTTTTCCTGGTGCCACTAATACCTGGCATCACTAAGGGAGCGTAGCAGTGTTCCACATTCCTTGTATTCCTTCCCCAGGCATTTAATTTATGGGTCATTGCTTCTGTACAGATCGTTTCCAGTCAAAGAAATACAACTTACCTGCAATAATTGTGTGGAGGTGCAGATGTAAAGGGAGAGTTGAGCTTACAAAAATGTCAGCCTGGGAGCAGCCCCAGGAATTGCATTTCTCACAAAAAAAAAAAAAAAAAAAGCTCTGGTCTATTTTGAAATGTTTGTCTGATAATGGAGTAGTAGAAATTTTCCTTTATTTGAAACTTCCCTGTAAGAAATTGTTTGGTTTCTTTTTATTCCATCCAAATATTTCACTCAAAGCCTTTTCTATGCTGAATTCCTTGCAGAGAGAGAACTTTAACTTAAAAACCAACACTTTCACTCTGTGGGCTGTATTTAATTTTTCATCAGATCCAATCAGTTTGTGGTCTTTGAAGGGTTTTTAGATGTGGAATGTCATGTGGGGTGAAGATTTTCATTTGGATCCAACAGCTCTGAAATCAGGCCAGCACTTCTCACCAGGTATCAACTCTTTTTAAGAGAACATCCTCAATATTGCCCAGTTCCGTGGGTTATCCATCCTCTGGATAACCCTGAGCCCTTGGGACCTTGCTTTCCTTGGATCCAGAGACACCACAGGGAGAATTTAAAATCTGAGAGCTGGGATTTGCAGTTCTCATTTTGGCCCCTCTCACAGTGGTGTTGGGGAAGTGCTAAGTTGTTAATGGAAGATTTCAAGGCCAGGTTGGATGGGGCTTGCAACAACCTGGTGGAGTGGATGGTGTCCCTGCCCATGGAATTTGTGTCCCAGTTCCAGCCAGGGCGTTGGGATTTACCTCCCATCCCAGGAGGTGGCAGCTCTGGGATTGCCATGCTTGGAATGTCAGTCTGGTGGCACCTGCAGGCACAGCCAGAGATCCCCACTGCTCCTCCAGGCCAGGGGGTTTCTCAATACACACAAAACAAGCAGCCCTGCTCAGTTTTGATACTCCCTGGAGGGAATTCTGCAGCTGACAGCTCTGTGTGAATGCCAGCAGGGAAACTCAGCTCCCTTCTCCTTCCCTCTGCTGCCTTTAAAGACTTGGGGATCTTTTGAATTTTATTTTTTTTCCCCCAGC